ACATTTTTTCCTGTGGTGTGGGCTTAAGGTTAGTCAGTACCTCTGTGATTGCCTCCCACTCTTATTAGCGGAAGGGGAACATGCGAAGCTCACCCCTCTCCAGACAGAAAAATGTAACAAGTGGCATCAGATTTCCACCAGAAAAGTGCTTTGTCATCTCCGTTAATAACAGGTTCCAAACAACTCCGGTTCACTCCTCTGCCGTGCTGACAGGATCTACAATTTTCCCAGTCACCTTATGTGTGCACAAATTAGCTCATCAGTGTTGAATCTGTCTAAAAAACGTCTGAGTGCTGCCCCCTGTGGCAGAACAGTGGCTACTGCATTTTAAATTTGTGATTGACTGGGGCAGGTACAATTTCACGTCATCGGCACAGTCTCCTCCCACTCCCCCTCCCTCCCAGGATGGAAATTCCCCACACTTGGCCATGCCCAGAGCTATAGAGAGAGAGTTACGACACTCCAATAGACTCCTGTGGAAAGAATGGAATGCGGAAGTCACGTGGTTCATGTAGCTTCGAATAGTTCCAAACAGCCCCCGCTGCTGCATTGACCGCAGTACATCTTTGGTGTTTCGGAAGGATTTTATCCGGTAAGGTGATGAAATGTCATAATTTTTATGCATTGTGAAGCGTTAGCTAACTGCTTCGAACCAAAATACACCAACGATGATATTTTATGTAGCTAGTTTTAGCTAGATAACCTTTAATGAGCTAATTGTGTGCAGCTTGTTGATTGTGAGCAGGAGGGGTTTAGACAAGCTTGACGAGTTGCAGACGGGTTTATTTCAGTTTGTTTGATTCTACGTTTAAAAAATATTCCCCACAGTTTGAAATATTTTAATAATTTTTTTAGTGTTTTGTATTGTATTAGATTTTGTGAACCAGAGTTCCCTCTGTGACAGTAAAAAGTTGAGTTAAGTAAAAAAAAAAAACCTGCCCTGATTTAGCTCAATGACCCAATTCTACAAGATTAAATAAGAATCTGTTATTAATTCATTTGAAAACCTATTCCATTTAAATGTTTATTTAAATGGTAGGTCAAAACAAATCAATACCAGACTGATATGTTACCATTTGCTTCTACGTGCACGCCGGTTTCTAACAATGAAAATGTAATTTTTCCTGGGAGAAAATCAAGGAGAGAGAACACACATTAGTGTTGGTACACGAGGAGCAAAAGAAACATCCAGGATCTGCTGTCACTGAGCTTATGTTTGATCAGTCTGTCATTCTAGATCAATCTGTGCTGACTGACCATGCAGGGTAACCCATCAGACCAACGGTCATTGGTCAGTTTAAATTATTGCATAATGAGCAGTATGAACAACTGGTGAAGAAAATAGTTTTTTATTAATATATATAAAATCTCTCAGTGCAACACATTCTCACACCCTAAGCGTCGGAAACAAACGCTTGGTCAGCCACCCTCCACGTCAGACCCCAGACGCCAAAAGTGCCCTTTTTCGTTACTTATGTGCGAAAAGGGGTTTTTCCCTTTTGTAACTGCAGATCCCAATGCAGCGTAAAACTGACGTGATTAGATATCCGCTGATGCGGCACAGAACCAGCTCATTTAACCGCACCTAAACCTTAACGTTTCACTATTTATAACCTTCCCCTCTCCCTCATCCTAACCTTAACCCTCTTGCTACCTAAAACGTTACTCTCACTGTGATCAAGCGTTTGTTTCCCCTGCATTCTGACTCTGACAGTCAGAGTCTGACTGTCAATTTTCATATTTGCCACCCAAGGGGAACGTTAGAATATACCATCTGGCAAGGGGGAGGTTACACATACCCTCTACTTTTAACCTCCACCGTGGTAGTTGAAACCTCCCCCTCGCGTTGGCTCGGTCCAAACTCGACCAACGACGAGGCGGCTCCCGCCGTTCACTTCATAGAGCCGGCTTTTAGAGCGATCGACACATCACTAACGTGTTCGCCAGCAAGACGGTTAAGGTTAGGATAGGGGTGAGGGGAAGGTTAAATAAGAGGATAAGGTTAAGGTGAGGTACAATGAGCTTGTTTGGTGCCCTGGCTGCGGACATCCCATCGCGTCAGTTTTACGCTGCATTGGGATCTGCAGTCAAATAAGGGAAAAAACCCTTTTCGCACATAAGTAACGAAAAAGGTCACTTTTGGCGTCAGGGGTCTGACGTGGAGGGTGGCTGGCCAAGCGTTTGTTTTTGATGCGCTGGGAGTGAGAATGTGTTGCTCAGTGGGATGCAGCACCAGGCTGTCTGCATATGAATGTTTTCTGTTTTGCAGAGCAGATAAGGTCAGAGGGGGAGGGGAGGGGAGGGGTGATGCTCGAAGTTGAGGACGAGCTATCGGGGCTGATTGTCTCCAATTAATTGCTTGTCTTAGTGGCTGCTCCACAGGGCAAAATGCATCCAGTTGCTGCAGCTGACACTAAAACCTGATAGCTAAAACAAAGAGTTTCCTTCCAGGAGTCCATTTGAAGTATCTGAAATGGAAGCTCATTAATGCAGACGTGTAATAAAGAGTTACTACAGAATGCTTTGAAATGGCTGCAGTAAAATATTCAGATCTTTAAAGAGGTTTTTATGATTTTCCAGTGAACCAATCAGCTAGCTCACTGGACAGTGATCAGATGTGAACACTGCGGTGTTGAGAAGCAGCAACTCTGCAGAGGGATTCTCTGGTGAGCCATCTGTTAGCATGAGAAGGCTGACTGGAGCTGAGACTGGCAGGTGGACAAATTCACACTGATCTTTAAATTAGAAGAAGACTGGTTGTGTAAAATGATGGAGAGGTCTTTGTTACGTAGTTGTGAATGCTTGTGAGGCTTGTCTCGTGTCACAGCTGTAACAGTCGTATCTAAGGATTTTAGACATGATCGTGAGAAGATCATGGTAGAACCAGGGCTCCACTGTGTTAGCGGAGCTAAGAAAAAGAGCTTTGCTGTCAGAATATTTATTTTTAAAAGGTTGTGCATGGGTTCCCAATATCTGAAAGTAGTAGCCTTAATTATTCTAGCCATTTTAACGTTAAAACAAAAATCACCTCTTACCTCAGATCAAACTCTGAACGTTTTTGCATCAGATTTTTGCACCAGTGAATTTAATCATCAGATGTTTTGCTAATGCATTAAGTGAGAACCTGCTGGAGTTGAATGTGACAGGTGGCTGATGAGTCTTTGACACAGGTCACGGTGTGCTTTTAGAGCTTTACCTGCATTGTTTTAGTGCAGCAGCATTTCTTCACGGGTCAATGCAGTGTCCTTACATCGACAACTTTGTTCATATTAAATGTTTATTTTAGTTCATCTTACAGTCGGTCTCAAACGTTTCAAGCCATTTCCCTGTGTCAGGGAAGGAAATTTAGGTCTAGCCTGGAAGGTTGTTTTGGGTGACAAATCCACATAAACAAAGAACGGTTATAGGAGCTGCACTTTGCTGGAATAATAAAAGAAAATCACCCCAATAACCTCGGTTTATTCAGAAATAGATAGAAAAGAGATGCGCAACCACCTTTGAGAACATAATACTACAGGCTGCGTACAGAAACAAGGAAAACTCCGTACTAATGGCTACACTCACTCTTTTCCCCTACACACATTATTGTTTTCAATGATTTCCTGCTTGTAGTAATTGAGATCTTCTTTTATAGACTGAAGCCTCAAATTACCAGAAGGTTTGTTCATATTTTTGTGCAAATTAAAAGTATTTAAAAGGGGGCCACCTCGTGATCGGAAGGTTGCGGGTTTTATCCCCACTCAGTTTGCCATTGTCGTTGTATTCTTGGACAAGACACTCAACCCTCCTTGCCTGGCAACCTTGCTTCTGTCAGTGAGCGTCAGGGCAGCTGTGGCTACAATGCAGCTCATCACCACCAGTGTGTGAATGTGTATGTGAATGGGTTAATGACTGATTGTGTTGTAAAGTGCCTTGGGGGGTTGTAGGACTCTAGAAGACACTATATTAAGTACAGGTTCTTAACATTCTGCAAAAAATGGACCAAAACCGTCTCTCACAGATACCCATATGGAATTGCATCATTATTTTCTTTTTACCAGAAAACCATTTTAATGAAAATTTCATAAGCTTCAGGTGTTTTTACTTTGAGGTATGTTTAAGACTCTTATTGTGAAGTATTGAAGGAAGTTATATGAGAGGTGTGGACACTGCTGCAGAAGTAAAGACAACACCTGAAACGGACTCAAGAGAAGGCCTGTTGTTTTGTAGCTCTTCACCCACACCTTCTAGCTGCAATAATGAGATGAACAATCCGATTCAGGAACACACGAGTTTACTTCTTCAGGCTGCTATCGAAACATGGTGTTGTTGTTTTTTTCTACAACATTAAAACTTTAGTGAAGCCCTGAAAGACCATGGCATTTTTGTTGTTGTTGTGGCAAGTATTTATTTTTCTTTCTTTCCCGCTTCTCATCCAACAATTAGCAAAGAAGGATATTTTTTCTCTGAACAAAATTCGCATTGTTTTTATTGTTTGTTTGTTTGTTTACTCAGCCCTTAGGGTAAACAAAGAACTTTGTTTTTTCTCTTGTAAAAATCCTCAATTTTTTTTACAGTACCCCCCCGGGCTTCCGTACTTTAGTCTTGAACCTTGGAAACAAAAAAAAGATCCTCCTAGTTTTGTATTCTTTTGAGTGGCTCTAAGGCACTACTGTAATCATTTCTGTTCAACATTGAACAAAAAAAATCAATTAAATTCATTACCTTTAAAAAACATGAAAGAAGTTTATTTAATGACCTAAATTGTGCCTTAGATTAAGTTAGATTGCATAACATCTCGTTTCAGACTTCACTAACTGAAAAGTTTCATCTCAGCAGTTTGTGATAAAATTCATGTCTAATCATCAATACAAGCTTTTATACCTAAGACTGTACTACTCAGCAGCTACTTGCAAGTTTCATTCATCCAGAGTTTCTTTTCCTCCCTTTGACCTATAAAGAATATTTTCCAAAAAAAACAAAGTGAACTGACATTTTTTCCCTCTCTGTTTCTAATTTAGTTAAACCAACAGTGATTGATGTCGACATATTTGTGAACAGCATTGGACCGGTGTCTTCTATAAATATGGTAAGTCTCTGTATCAAAAGCATGTTTAAATGCTTTCTGGAGGGAGTTTATGACTGAAGGAGAATTTATTTCTGCTCTATAGAGTCATCGGGTGTCGGTAAATACAGTTTGTTTGTTGTTTTTACAATTAAAGTGCATTTTGGTTGATTAGATGATCTACTTAAATGCATTGTGGGAAATGCATGTGTGTCAATCACAAACCATGTTGGGCCCAATTTCAAAACTCGCGCAACTTTCTTCAGCAAAGTGCACTTGGCAGAAGTGCACAGTAAGGCTTCGAGTGTGTGGTACACATTCGTGCAAATATTTACCAAATTGAGACAGAGAGCATTGCATCATAGATGTCGCGTGCCCGTCCCATTTACCGGTTCCTTTAAAACCTAGTTCCGTTAGAACTTATGAGACGGTGCATCCATCAGGGTTCGGTGGGGATGTCGGTGAGTATTATAGTATTAGATCCTGGTTTGGGCGTCCTAAGTTAGAATCATATCTTTTATTTTAAAGGTGAAATAATATGTAAGACCTTTCCTTCTGTAGTAGCTCACTTCTTTTTAAGCAATCCCGTTATCTTAAGGTTTCTTTATATTAATCTGTCACAAACCGTAAAGTAAGTCCTGATAATTCCAGAACCCATAATTAATGTGCTTACCTCTGTGCAATTAATGATCAGAGCCCCCACTCGTGAAGCTTTAGAGAAAACCTGAAAGAATCAGGATTATGTTTCTTTTTCAAAAAAGGTTTATTACAAAATCAAAATACAAAAATGGGTAGATGAAAAAACAACTGCTATCCCCCACGGAGGAATTAGTTCAAAATGATTAAATAAGAGTTAGTTTACACTAGCTCTTGTCTTCTCAGAATCTCCCCAAGAACTCTTTTCTAGTCTCTCTCTCCGTCATCCCCCATCCAGGTTTGGACGGGGGATGACCCCTCCCCATCTGCTCTCCTCTCTGTCCTCTGCCCCAACTGCTGTCGAATCTCTCAATCTCTCTCTGCTGTTCAGAGCTGTTCTTATATACCCTTCCTGGACCAGCTTAAGGTCATGGGGTCATTTACCAGATACACACTTTGTAGCTCAACACAAAACATTTGGTGTCATTTTCCTTCTTAACACAGGTCATTACATCATCTTTTGCAGCATTCTTCAGTTTCTCTCCAATGTTCCCGAGAAGGCTTCTGGATCTGATGGGCTTGTCTTCATTCTGTTCTCCTCCAATCCCATCTTTCCAAGCCAGGGGTGGGGCAAAGAGGTGGGGTCAGTCTCCTGACCCTTCGCCCAGTTCTGTCCTCTTGTCCCTGTGACCCTTGTGTGACCCTTGTTTCTGACCACAGTTTTTTGACCTGCAGCCCAGCTCCTGTTGACTGGCTGATTTTGCTCGCACAAGCCAGTCCAGTGTGTTTCAGCTTGCCACTGTCTTTGGCATGTGGGACTCGCAACATCCCCCATGCGAGAAAAATCTAGCCAGGGGACTGCAGCAGCCTTCTTTGGGGGTGGGGCTGCCTCCTCCTCTGGATCATCTTAATCTCCAGTCTCAGACCCAGAGTCTGACAGCTCAGAGTTCAGATACACACCATCATCATCATCATCATCACTCACTTCAGTCTCTGAAGAACCAGATGTTTGTTCATGAGGGTTCAGATCTGGGTTCCTGCTTCTCCACCAGTTTCTGCTGCCATCTGGTCAGCTGAGCTGCTGGTTGGAACATCTCAGTCTCCTCCTTCAAGCAGACTCTCTCCCTCCAGACTGAAGACATCTTTTACTGCAGAGCTTCAAATATTCTCCTCACACACCTGAACAGCAACAAGCTAACTCTGCTAGCAGCTGCTGGTGGGAAGCTTACGCTAAAAACTATAAACTGTGGCAAGGTGGATAAATGAGGAGCAGGCGGGATTCGATCCCGAGACCTTCGGGGTGGGAGTCATACGCTCTAACCACTCAGACAAAGGGATATCCCCTTGACCAACTGGCCAGGACGCATTATCAATCGGGACATTGTGACAGAACGCTCACACTGTCACACCTTCCCCCCTCTTTCCACAAGCGCGTCCTCGTACTTCCGCGCAGGGTGCCACAAACTTCACATCCATGGACCTACTTGACAGTACTACATGGATCCTGCCAACAATACCAAATGTGGCAAGGTTAAAAATGCTTACGCCTTATTAGTGTAGCTGTCTGTCAGGTCAGAATCATACGGAGCTGTTAGTTCAGGACTCTCCCTTCTCAACAGAACTAGTAGGGGGAGGGGTGATGTCACCACATCCTGCTTGTCTGTTGTTGCTCAGCTGACTGAGTGCTTTTTCTCTGTTCAGCTGTGGCTTCTCATATCTGCAGGCTGCCGAGAGCGGAAGCTAGGTGCTTGTTTCAAGCAGATCCTCTAAAAACAAAGTTTAATTGGAGCAGAGTTCCAGTGCTCCCAGTTATAAGTCCGTCCTTTACAGGCGGCACGGTTTCTCCCCTCACGGAGCCCTTAAGCACAGAGGTTCACACATTATACATGTTCCCGGCTTCTAGCCTCCATTGCGCGTGACGATGCCCGACATGAGATTCTATGAAGCTAGGAAACATGATTACTTTACAGTTCGTGACAAATACCTCCCCGTGTTACCAGAAACGAGGCCCAAGTCACACAGATTCTTACATATCAGTCCTTCACTAGATTTTGATCCAGCCATGACGTTTAATCGCATCTCACTTGTGCCTCAGCACCCGGACAGCGCCCCGCCGCAGCTCCATACTAGCTTTTCCAGCCTCATTCTGAAAGCTCCGGTTACAGGATATTGAAAGATCTATCTGCCATGGCTGGTTAAAAGTTTTTCTTATTCTTTATTTATTTTTATTTTTTGCCTAGCTTTTATCCTTGGCTTTTCTTGCGTCGGAATGCCGTATTTTCTTTATACCTTTTTAAGTTGATCGTCCGTTCTCCCAGATTTCTTTCCTTTTCGAGAAACTGGTGCGGTTTTCACTCCAAGGTTATAAGCTTAATAGGTCCTTAGCGCGCAAGCTTTTATCAGCCTAAAAGACAGTTCTACGTCGGATAGCCCGGTATCTAATATTTAGACCTTCACTCCGTAGCCCCACGTTGCAGGCGCCATGTCGCGTGCCCGTCCCATTTACCGGTTCCTTTAAAACCTAGTTCCGTTAGAACTTATGAGACGGTGCATCCATCAGGGTTCGATGGGGATGTCGGTGAGTATTATAGTATTAGATCCTGGTTTGGGCGTCCTAAGTTAGAATCATATCTTTTATTTTAAAGGTGAAATAATATGTAAGACCTTTCCTTCTGTAGTAGCTCACTTCTTTTTAAGCAATCCCGTTATCTTAAGGTTTCTTTATATTAATCTGTCACAAACCGTAAAGTAAGTCCTGATAATTCCAGAACCCGTAATTAATGTGCTTACCTCTGTGCAATTAATGATCAGAGCCCCCACTCGTGAAGCTTTAGAGAAAACCTGAAAGAATCAGGATTATGTTTCTTTTTCAAAAAAGGTTTATTACAAAATCAAAATACAAAAATGGGTAGATGAAAAAACAACTGCTATCCCCCACGGAGGAATTAGTTCAAAATGATTAAATAAGAGTTAGTTTACCCCAGCTCTTGTCTTCTCAGAATCTCCCCAAGAACTCTTTTCTAGTCTCTCTCTCCGTCATCCCCCATCCAGGTTTGGACGGGGGATGACCCCTCCCCATCTGCTCTCCTCTCTGTCCTCTGCCCCAACTGCTGTCGAATCTCTCAATCTCTCTCTGCTGTTCAGAGCTGTTCTTATATACCCTTCCTGGACCAGCTTAAGGTCATGGGGTCATTTACCAGATACACACTTTGTAGCTCAACACAAAACATTTGGTGTCATTTTCACTACATGCAGCATTCTTCTTAACACAGGTCATTGCATCATCTTTTGCAGCATTCTTCAGTTTCTCTCCAATGTTCCCGAGAAGGCTTCTGGATCTGATGGGCTTGTCTTCACTCTGTTCTCCTCCAATCCCATCTTTCCAAGCCAGGGGTGGGGCAAAGAGGTGGGGTCAGTCTCCTGACCCTTCGCCCAGTTCTGTCCTCTTGTCCCTGTGACCCTTGTGTGACCCTTGTTTCTGACCACAGTTTTTTGACCTGCAGCCCAGCTCCTGTTGACTGGCTGATTTTGCTCGCACAAGCCAGTCCAGTGTGTTTCAGCTTGCCACTGTCTTTGGCATGTGGGGACTCGCAACATAGACAGCAATGCATGCTGGGATGCTGGCCGCTGTGCTACTTTAAAAAAACCTTTATTAACAACTTTCAAACAAACAACCAAAGAATTACTTGAAATTAATTTACATTAATTGCTGCTTTGTCTAAATCATTCTGAGCATCCATTAATCATCCTGAAATTAACTACTTTCATTACAACATATATATTTTCAGGAAAGGCACTTGAGCCTTTTCTCCTGCAGCAATGAATTGTGGGTAATACACTTCACTCAAGTCTGCATCAGTGCGAACGTGGGTGAAGTGCAGATCAATGGTGCAAAAGGGTTGTGAACAACTTCCGCACTTGAGAGTCAGGGCACCCTATGAACTCTCACCCCTGGCCGGGATTGTGCAATTGATGGGAGCAAGAGTGGAAGTGCGCCAGTTGGGATTGGGCCTTTTAGAGAACCTTTTTGTCAGGAAAATGGTGGTGGATGCCTTTGTAGGACCCAAAGGCAGTAAATCCAGGAGGCAGCCAGTTGAAGCAGTTAAAAATCCTTTAATGGATAAGCAGGAGGAGCACAAGTGCTTCAGTGCTCTGTCCTGTGTCCTGTGCACGCTGTCAACAGCAAGATATTTTCCATATTTGATCATTTTTAACGTGATGGAGAAATCTGAAAGCGATCAGTCATTTTTGACAGATTGTAATTCAAACCCTCTCGTCTCACGCAAGTGTGCAGACGTAAACGAGAGAGAGAACGTTGTGTAGGTAACAAATCAATCAAGAAAAGATTGCCATCAGAGCAATGTTATCATTATATTATTATTATTATT